CCTCCAGGGCAGGCGGGAATCGAACTCATGTGGAAGCGGCTTCAGATTTTCAGTGCTGTGCTTTAACCTGCTGCGTCACCAGGGAGGGCCCTGTCTTATACTCTTTTTTTAAAAAAAAAAAGATTTATTTGTGCATACAAAACTGGGGTACAGGCGAGAGGTGCAGGGGTGGTGAGAGGATTCACCAAAGTCAGAGTGGGGAGCAGAACAGGCCGACTGAGGAAGTACACCGCTGAGGGGAGCAGCAGGCAGGTCAGGAGAGCTCTGCCGCGCGTGTGGGTCACCTCTGGGGCAGGCGGGGATGAACTCGTGTAGAAGTGGCTTTAGCTTCTTATTGCTGTGCTTTAACCTGCTGCACCACCAGGGAGCACCCTAAAATGTCTTATGCTCTTAAAGTTTGTTTGCTTACCAAAAAGCAAACAAACAAAAAACTCCCGACAACAAAACATAACCACGTCTCAACAGAAGGTAGCTGGCTTTCTCTTCAAAGGACTGGGACAGAGCGCAGAGGATAGTCAGAATAACTTTCCAGCTCTCTTAAACCCTGGGAGAGACCCCCAAGGCCCTAGAAGGGATACCAGGAGGGGGCAGCCTCGTCAGCTGCCCAGTGGGGTGGTTGCCCGCTGCATTTCTGCTGGACCCATGCAAATGAGCGACATGGAAACTATAAACCTGTTCTCCTTCCCAGACCCATAGAGTTTGCAGTCGTCTGCTCCGGCTCAAGGTTATTGAGGTCTTTGCCGGTGAACTGAAGGGGGGCCAGAGTGAATGGCACATTGCAACGGCCTCATCTTGATCCTATCAATAGGATCTCATCCTGCATCAATATTTATCACTGACTAATTCATTTGGCATCAACCTTTATAAAATGGCTGGAACTCTGAATCACAAACAAAAACAACAGCGACCCCATGACAGAGGTAACAAAATTGAATAAAGGCAATTAAGAAAATTGTTTAATAGTATCTAATTCTTCTACAACTTCATGATTAAGATCACCAAGTTCAATGTGCAAATCTGTAGCCCTTTTGTTAAAGCAGTTCCGCATGGTAATTCTTTTCCTTAATCTTTATCTTTTCTGTTTCTCTGTAGCCTGTAATTTCTAAAGCCTCGTCTGTCGGGGGGAGGCAGAGAGGTGATTTTACTACACAGCAAATTATCATTATTAGCACAAGCTGCATCCGTAATGAGCTCATTCTTGCCACTAAAAACAATTCCATTACCTGATAAGACAAAATTCCTTGGGTCTGGAAATGCCTAAGGACCCGAGGGTAAGATTTGTATGTTTTCTTATGCCAACCAGGCCTTTTGTCGGGATAGTTTGACTTCGGTGGCAATTAAAGCTCTCCTTGAGGGTCACTTCTTTCTCTGTGGGACAAATGATAGTTCCATGAGACAGGATGCTGGGAGGGGTTTCCCGGCTCCTCACTCGCTCCCACCCCACAGTGAGGTGACCACAAGTCTAGTGGACCTCAATCACGGATTTAACTTTGCTTAGCAAAGCTGTGAAGGTCATGGCCAGAAGTCTACTCCCTTGGTTCAGATCTCAACTCTTTTTTTTTTTTTTTTTCTGGCTGTGTGATCCTTTCCTTCCTCTCTGAGCTTCAAATTCCTATTTTGTAAAATGAAGATAACAAAAAAGACTACCCAGTAGCCTGAGCATAAAGATCAAGAGTTCCAGCAGGTAAGTGTGGCTACTTGAGTTCAGTGCATGTGACCATGCATTGAACACACACATCCTTTTTTTTTTAAAGATTTATTTATTTGTGCATACAGAACTGGGGTACAGGCCAGAGGCTCAGGGGCAGTGAGAGGATTCACCAGGGACAGAGCGGGGAGCAGAACAGGCAGACCGACGAAGTACACTGCTGAGGGGGGCAGCGGGCGGGTCAGGAGAGGTCTGCCGCGCCCTGTGGTCACCTCCAGGGCAGGCGGGGATCGAACTCATGCGGAAGCGGCTTTAGCTTCTCAGTGCAGTGCTTTAACCCGCTGCGCCACCAGGGAGGGCCGAACACACGCATCTTTTACACGCAGGTATAGGGGCCGGGAACTGCTGTAGCCAACGGTCAGGGGGGCACAGGTCTTCAAGTGCTCAGAGACGGCCTTACCAGCAGAGGAGTCCCGACTCCGGCCCCCATTGAAGTGTCTCACACCACTGTGCTCTTCTCCCAGGGACGGCGCCTGGAGGCAGCAGAGTCGCGTGACGGGTCAGGAACGCACGTTCAGGTGCTAGTGCACACAGAGTGCTCGCTTGTGTAAGGATCTCGCCTATGTGCTTGACCTGCAGGCTTCTTTAACATGCATCAATATTTTCATTCTACAGATGCGGAAACTGAGACACACAGGTTAAGCAGTTGCCCAGGGTCACAGGGACAGGAACAGGCAGAGGCAGGATTCTGAAGCCAGGCATCGGAGCCCAAGCGCTTGACTTGGGGCCACACTGCCACTGCCTGGGGACGCCTCTGGGACCATTGTCACAGCAACACCAGCACCCTCCACATGAGCTGAGTCATGGTTTTAACACCCAATCAATCCAGAAAGCAGATGTGAGGATAAATGATGAAGCACAGAGGCATAATTAGTTGCTAGCCAGTGGATGGGACTGAGGATGTTGAGTTGGTCT